CCAGCGTCTGTATCCAAGATTTCCATCTCGTTGTCGTCGTCTGAACTGTCGGTGTCAGCGTGACAATCACACAGAGCAATTTTGTGCGCAGAACTTTTGTCATAACTGTCGATAGACTCTCTTCAAACCACTCTGCGGGCTGACTATATATGAGCCCAGACGTCGGACATTTTTCGGCGGCTAGGTTTTTTTCATTTTAGAACTCCTTCCATGAATATATTATTTTAAAAACACAGAAAAAGCTTAAAATGCTATAACGTAATTGTCTGTGCATCGATCGCGATGGCATAACGGACAGTATTTATAGATTACACAATACATAATAAAGCCAGATGGTCAACAAATCAGTATGAAAATTAAATCATTTGTCTTCAGTCTGCCACTCTACATGATATGTAAATGTATGGAAAACGTGTTTACCCAGATTTTTGGGAATAAACTGAAATTACGGACCAAATGCATCCGCACAGTAAATTTGGACCAAATGTTACATAATCGAAATTAAAAAAACAATGTTATTTCACTGTTGCTACCTTAATACCTTCGTTTAGACTGTTTTTTATTTTAGTGATTATAGATATACTATTTCTGGCTTGAACAGATTCTAATTTCAGCGCCAAACAGATTGAACACAAAACACTTGTCCAGTTTATAAAGGTGTTTTCATTATGAAATATAATGCCCTGTAACTACACGATTCACAAACTACTGCGTTCGAGTGAATTCATCGGCGAGGGCGCAAAACTTATCGCCAACCATGTCAGGTTGATTCCTTGAAAATTATCAAAGTTGTTAATTGTTGTAACAATGCGCGTGCCTGACCGTATATGGTATCGACACAACTTCTCCAAAATTGATGCCATTTTATTTTATTTGTTGTGATGGTATCACACAATTCTTGTTTCTAGATAGATTAGTCTGGAACCGCAAAGAAGTATGGTCTGCTAAAGTAGAATACATTTTATATACGTACATTTGCATTTCATTTTAATTGATGGCCATTTGATGTTTTAAAATGTTTCAAAATTGCATTCGTTTGCAATTGTGTCTCCCGTAAGTTGACCTATGACATCTGCGTGCCTCAGCAGTCAGTACGATAATAAACGACCATTTACGACATATTTATTCACTTTTGTAAACTTTTAACGATTGTTCTCGATAATATATCAAGATAGGTCACATTTCCATGTAAATTTGCCAACTTTGCAATCACTTTTCACAACTTTGTAAGCAGTTTGTTTATCATATTACGCTTTGATAGTGGTATAATCTGCTAATATAAGGGGCTTTTTCAACACATTGACTCATTCTTTCTCTATTTTTAACGGTGGGGTCGATATAACAATGACTTAGGTCAAATATATTAGGAAACCCACCAACTTTTCAAATGATTTTCATATCCTTTTAGGCTGTTTTAGAAAATATTCAAACGGCCTTTTATGAGATATTCATTCACTTTCATTCACTTTCGCGAACTTCAACAACTGGACTCGATA